AACAATGGGATATGTTTGAACCAAGTTTTTTTGATTTATCAGATGCTAAAGCAGGCAGTGTTGATCCATGTCATCGATTACTTATGTTAAAATTTGTTCATTTACTTGATGACGCTGGATACAGTGTTGAAAAAGTGAATGGTACAAAAACGTCAGTACGTATTGGACAATTTTCAACAGATCATGCAGTTACAGCAGCTCGTATGAGACCTGAACATCGATCAAGATTTCATGGACCTAATAGTTTATTATATAATGCTTCAACTCGTTTATCATATCATTTTAATTTACATGGTCCAAATGTCTCATTAGATGTTGCTTGTTCATCATCTTTAGAAGCTTTACATATGGGTGTACAATGTCTTCGTACAAATGAAGCGGATATGGCTGTATGTGGTGGTGTTAATGGAATTTTTGCACCGGAAAATTTTCTACAAAGTTCACTTATTAGTGCACAATCACCTGATGGAAGAAGTCGATCATTTAGTGCTGATGCTAATGGTTATGCTAAAGGTAAAAATTTCAATTGATTAGTTTTCTATGTAGAAATAAATTTAAATTTGAATTCTCTAGGTGGTGGTCTTCGTGTTTTATTATTAAAATGATTAAGTGATGCTGAACGTGATGGCGATCTAATTGAAGCTAATTGTTTAGATCGATTCTTTAATCAATCAAATCTTGATCCACCATTATTATTAGATTTACTTAGAAGTAATTTAGGACATACAGAAGGTGCAGCTGGTGTAGCATCACTTATTAAAGTTGCTATGTGTATGTATCATCGTGGTATTACAGTAAATATGCAATTTACTTCACTTAATCCAAAAATAGAAGCACAAAAATATAATCTACATATTCTTCAAAATTTTGTACCATTTCCATCTCTTCCAAATAATGAAAAAATAACTATTGGTGTTAATTCATTCGAAACGGTTGGTTCAACGACACATTCTATCATTGAAGAATATCAACCAATAAATAAAACATCAATTGAAAATAACCATATCGATGATGAAAATCATATTAAAAGCAAACAATATTTTATTTTTATTTTTTCAAGTAAGTCCTTTTTTCTTTTCATTCATTAAATAATTTATTTCTCTTATTCAGCAAAAAGTCGTCAATATCTTAACGATCAATTAATGATATAGATCATAATGATGATCAAGCTTTTCTTCAACATATATCTCAACAACTTCTTCTGAAAAGAACTATTAGTTATACACATTTAGCAATCTTGTTTTTTCTTAATCGTCAACAATTACAAGAACAAATCAATGCTTTTCTTACTGAACAAGCATCACCAGGCCTTTCAATCATATCACGTCCAACAAAACTATTAGCACAGAAAATATGTTTTGTTTTTAGTGGTCAAGGTCCACAATGCTGGGCTATGGGTAGACAATTATATGAAAGTGAACCTTTATTTAATAAATGGATTAATTTAATTAATGGAGAAATGACAAAAATTAATAATGGTGAATAGAGATTATTAGAAGAATTAATTGAAAATAAAACTGAACAAGAATCTCGTATTAATGATACAAATATTGCTCAACCAACATTATTTGCTATACAAGTTGCATTAACAGCTTTACTTGTTTCTTGGAATATTTATCCATCATCTATAATATCACATAGTGCTGGTGATCAAGCAGCTGCTTTTGTTGCTGGTCGATTAACTTTAGGAGAAACTGTTCGTATGCTAGCTGTTTGAATAAGTGAAGAAGAAGTAGAAAACAAACTTTTGAAAGGTATTGAACATTTGGCTTGTATTGCTGTTGTTAATAGTCCTCGCTCAGTAACAATAAGTGGTGATGAAAAAACTATTGATGAAATACAACAAATTCTTTCCATATCTTATCCTAATGTATTTACAGCACGACTCCGTATTGAAAATGCATTTCATTCATATCAAATGAATCGATTTGATACTGAAAAAGAAATGCTTTCATCCTTGAAAGATATTCGAGGACTTCCAATACAAGATCAAAAGCAAAACTTTATTCAAGTGTTACTGATGATAAAATCAATGATAATATACCAGTTGATAGTCAAATGTAAAACAAACTGTTCGATTTTATGATGCTATAGCAGCAATTATAAAAGATGAAGCAACAAATGTTTTTCTTGAAATTTCACCACATCCAGTTTTAGCTACATCTATTCGTGAATGTTGTAAATTAACAAATCAACGATAATCATCACCACTTATTCTTCTAACATTGAAACGAAAAGAAGACGAACAAATAACATTTCTTACTAGTTTAGCACAATTTACAACATCATCTCAAGTATGGCAACAATATTTTCATATTCGTCAAATTTTACCGTTGAAAAATCATGAAGAATATTTTGATAATTTTCCATTATATAAATTTCATTTGAGTCCATGTTGGTATGAATCAAAAGGTTCATCTATACAACGTTTAGCTAATCGTATTCAAACTCATTCATTACTTGGTATTCGTCAATTAAATGAACAAACAAGTGCAACATGGAAAAGTCTTATCAATATTAATTTAGCACAACATGCTTTTTTGAAAGATCATAAAATTCAAGATGCAGTTCTTTTCCCGGCTGTTGCTTATCTTGAACTTGCAACAACTGCTTGTCGTCAATTACTTCCTCCAAAAGAAGATGATCAACAACAACAACCAACAATTATTTTTGAAAACGTTAATTTTTTTGAAGCACTTATTCTTAATAAACATGAATTAGTTGAAGTATGTATACAAATAACTATGCCAATGCGTGAATGGTATATTATATTTTGTAATCAAGATAATTTTAATAAATACTCATTAAATGAATTTACTTTACATGCACCAGGCAAAATTGAAATAGATTCTAAACAACAAAAATCATTAACAATACCTAATACATGGACAGCACAACATATAACAAGTGCTTATGAACATCTTTCAACATGAAGTTATCAATATGGAACTAGTTTTCGAAAAAAAATAAAAACATAACGTGGTACTTCAACTACAATTATATCTCAATTATCAAATGATACTAATAATTGTTCATCTTATTATTTACTGCATCCATATCTAGTTTTATTACCAGGTATTGAAACAACATTTCTTCCAGTACGTATTCAAAAATTTATTTATTCAAGTAAAACAAAAATAAAAATGAATCAATCAACAAATGTTGAAGTACGTGGAAAGTATCATGATAATATATGGGGTATAGACCAAGAAGAAATATATAGTCTTGATCTATGGATATTTCCAATGGAGAATAAAACCGAAGAACCAATATTTACATTTGAAGGTGCTGTTATTCAACAAGTTCAAGGTATACAATCTGGTCGATGGTCAATGGAACAAACAATTTATGATAAATTAAATCTAACAACTGATTTACCTAATGCTGATCATAAAACATATTTAGATACAATTCTAAAAGATTATTGCATGAAAAGAGTATGGACTGATTCACCAATAATAAAAGATATATCACATTTACTTCCATCACCTAATCAAATTCTTAATAATCAACTTAATTCTATTAGTAATCAAGATTTAATTGAATCAATCGAACCATGTAATGAATTAGCTGCTTATTATGCTCAAATGGTAATTAAAGATCTTGATTTAAATCAACAACATCATCCATTATTAAATGCATGTCGTTCTCTTGCTTCAACTTTACATAACGAAGTAACATGGCATTCAACACATCTTTGTCTTATTCAATTAATCGAATGTTTTCCTCGTTTAAAATCATTTTTAATCATATTAAATAAATATGGTTTACATTTAAAAGATATTCTTAGTGGAGAAAAAAATGGATTAGATATATTTCTTGGTGATGATGAAATTGAACAAATTTTTCAGCAAATTAAAACTCTTATAAGTGCAACTAAAACACAACAAATTTTTCATTCGATTTGTCAACATCTACAATTACAATATGAACAAACTAAAGATGATTCATTTCAGAATTATCGATTACGTATATTATGGTTAACTGACAGTGATTGCTCAGATGTTTTACCTATTCTTGATCTTCTTCTTAATTTATCACAACAAACAGGTTTATTAATTGATTTACATTATGCAGATTCTGATCCAGTACAACTTGCAAATGCTCAACAAACATTTAATACACATCTAACTAATCAAACAAAAAATTTATCTATTATTTATGATGAAACAATTGATATATATGATAGTAAAACACTTGAAAAAATACCATTTGAATCATTTGATATTATATTTTCTGCAAATCAACTTGAAGGAAATCAAGATTTAACAAATTGTTTAATTGATCTGCGTCATTTACTTGTTCCTACTGGTTTTCTTTTATTACTTGAATTAGTTCATGTTCCTCTTTATTTTGATCTTATTTTTGGTTTCATTGATCAATGGTGGTCATCTGACGATAATAATCGTGCAGTAAATAATATTCAACAATGGACAACATTATTAGAACAAATCCAAGGATTTAATTTTATTGAATCAACATTAAATGAAAATGAAAGTACATTAATTATTAGTCAAAAAACAATATCAAATGATATATTACAAAGACTTGATGAACGAATAAATTAAATATGGTTAATATTTATTAAAGATGATCAAAATAATAAAAATAATTCATATTCATAATTCAACATTAAATATTATTTATTCTGCAATATCAGTTTTATTAACAATTTATAAACAAGTATTTATTATTTCTGCATGGCAACTTGATCAAGTATTACTTTATGAAAATAATGATGATTTAGCATTTAAACAAAATGAAGAACTTATATGTGGAACATTATCACTTATTCTTCAAACAATTCAAAAATCATCACCATATTTTTATCCATTCGTATATGTTCTTACAGATCATGCTCAATTTAATAATGATTCTAATCTTAATTTAATTGCATCACCATTTATTGGTCTTGCACGAAGTTTAATAACTGAATATGAACGAAATCGATTAAAACTTATTGATCTTCAAAGATCATTAAATAATAATAATCAATCAACATTTATTTATACTTTAATAGAATATATGATTAATTCAAGATATTCAACTGATACTTGTCGAGTTGTTCTTCGTCTTAATCAAACAAATCAAAATCAAGTTCAACATTTAACATGGCATTATGAAATGTTACAAAATAATGATGAATAAGAGAAGTCTAAATTAAAACAAATTTCTATTATTCCTAAACGAGATACTAATCAAAAACCATTTCGTCTTTGTGTACCACAATCTCGTTTTCTTTCTGAATTAACATGGACTGAAGAAGATAGAGAAAAAGAATTGATACCAGCCGGTATGGTAGAAGTTCGTGTTCATTGTATTGGTATTAATTTTCGTGATGTACTCAAATCACGTGGTCTTTATTCATATACACGTACTTTTGCACAATTGGATGATGGACAACCAAAAGTTAATCGAGATACAGAACCAGGTTCAGATTTTGTTGGTACTATTGTACGTGCATGTCCTACGACTAACTTTCAAGTTAATGATCATGTTGTAGATGTTACTAATGATGGTGCATATCATTCTCATATTATTATTAATTCACTACTTATAATACGTATTCCATCTGATTTTTCTCTTACTGACGAACAATTATGTGGTCTACCATATTCAATTTTAACAATTACCTATCCTCTTAAATATCGTGTTCATTTACAAGCTGGTCAAACTGTTCTTATTCATACTACAACAGGTGCTGCAGGTGAATGGTGTATTCAATATTGTCAATATATTGGTGCTCGTATTTTTGCTACAGCTGGAACTGAAGAAAAACGACGTTTTCTTTGTGAATATTATGGTATTGAACATGTATTTAATACTCGAGATAATTCTTTTGTTAATCAAATACGTGGAATATCACCAGACGGTGTTGATGTTATTATTAATTCATTATCATGTAATTTACTCAAAGAATCAATTAAATTATTAGCATATAATGGTCATTTTGTTGAATGGGGTAAACGAGATATTTATGATAATAATTATTTATCAATGTTTCAATTACGATCAGATTGTAGTTTTCATGTGATTGATTTTATTTCACTAGCTGATCATGTATCACCTCTTATGCGTCTTATGCTTGAAGAAGCAATTGATTTATTTATTCAACACAAAATTAAGTGCTGTTGACCAACAGTTACTTATGAACCATCTCAAGTAATAGAAGCATTATTAAGATGTAATAGTGGTCAAGTTATAGGTAAAACAGTTTTTCGTATAACTTCATCTGATCAACCATTAAATATTAATAAAAAACAATCTAATAGGTTATTAAAAGGTAATCATATTTTATATTTTCTTTCAATTATAATTTTTGTTAATCAATAGTTGTAAGTGATGATAATACAATATTTTCATCAGAAGTCCGTAATCAAGGAACAATTTAAATATCTGGTGGTCTTGGTTTAACAATGTCTCGGTGGATGATTGAAAAACGAGATGTCAAACATATAGCACTTATGAGTCGTCGAACATTAGTTCAACTTGAACAACCTTCAAATCCACAATATGATGATTGGTTAAAATTAAAACGAACAGCAAAAGAATATAATGCTCATGTTGATGTTGTTCAAGCAGATGTAACAAATTTTCAACAAGTTCATGATTTAATTGAAAGATTTCAAAAAACTTCTTATCCTATTCGTGGTATTATTCATAGTGCTGTTGTTACAGAAGATCGTACTTTAAATAATTTAACACAAGGACATTTATCACTTGTTTTACCACCAAAAGTTCGTGGTGCTTGGTATCTTCATCAAGCTACACAACTTCTTCATGTACCTATTCATTTTTTTATTATGTTTTCATCAATTCGAAATCATTTACTTGAAGTTTCATCTGCTGGTTATAATGCCGGTAATCAATTTCTTGATGCACTTGCTCATTATCGTTTTGCAAAACTTAATTTACCAGCACTTTCAATTAGTTTACCGGCTGTAAGTGGTGCTGGAATGTTTCATCGTCATAAAGAAATGCTCAGTACTTTAAAGATTTCACAAGGTTTTGAATTAGTGCCAACAGTAACTGTATTCGAATTAATTGAATGTTTTCATCAAACTCAAAAGATTTGTCCATGTCCTGTTATTTTTGCTGTTAATTGGCAAACATTACATCGAAATTATCCATTATTAGCTACATCTTATTTAAGAAAAATCGTAGATCAACGTTATAAAGAGATGAAATTCGATCAAATATCATTGACACCATCAGAAAAAAGTAACTCAGCTGTGTCTACTATGAATAAAAAAGAAAGTATTATTGAACGAACTCAATCTGCTGTTGCAAGATTATTAGGTGCAGTTAGTGTTGATCGTATAGTCATTGATCGTTCAGTTGTTAGTCAAGGTATGGATTCATTAACTGCTGTTTCATTAGCTAATTGGTTAGGTCAATAAACTGGTATTTATGTACCATTATCTGCTCTTCTTCAAGGACTTTCAATTGAAACAATTGCAACACTTGTTTATAGCAAACTTAATGAAAAAGAACAAACAACATCAACAGTTACAAAAGAACAAGATTCAGATTTTGATTTAGTTGATGAAAATGCAGTTCAATATTCTGATACATCAACATATACTGGTTTAGAAAATATCATTTGTGTACATCGTTCGAATCAAAATAATGCTTCAACTCTTTTTTGTATTACTCAAATATCAAATGATAATAATAATGAAGATTTATTTACATTTTTTATTGATAAATTATCTAAGAAAAAATATGAAACATCATCAAATGATATCTATGCTTTACAAATACCAACAATAACATCATCATCATCTATATCTACATATGCTCAAAATCTTATTATACAAATGCGTCGTATTCAACCATGTGGATCTTATCAAATAGTAGGTATTAGAAAGAAACCAGAAGAAACTATTGCTCATGAAATGTTAAAATAACTCAAAACACATTCACGCATTACTAATACTCAATTACATCTTTTAGATGCTCACAATTAAAATATACTCACAATTATTATTTAATAAAATATTTATTCTTATTCTTATTTACTAAATCTATTTTATTTTTATCAATTACCGTAGTATACTAATATTTGTAGATTTCTTAACAATACTAATAAATTTCCTCGATAAAATATTTTTTTGTAAAAACCTATAATAGTTAATCAACTCACTAACAATATTAGATTAATATTCTTATTTATTATCTTATATAATGTCATAGCTATACTCAGTCAACTCTCTTGCTTCATTCTGCAGTATTATTAGAAGATTGTACATTGGTTTATCGTACTTTTGATAATAATATCACTCTCATACAATGTGATCATATTCTTATTTCATATTTTGAAATATCTATTTAGTTTTTCTCATCTTCTTTCTTTAATTTCTAGATTCTATTAAACTACCTATTTCACATCAAAGGATTGATTTCTTTATTATACAATGCTTTCACGTGAGCGACTAGCAGCAGGAACAAATCCACACAAAGAACCACAATTCACAACTTCAGGACGAACAGAAGCTGTTGCTTCATTTATTCAACAACGAATTTGGCTTCATGACCAACTTTATTCTCATTCTTCCGACCTGTCTGTTTACAATATTTTGGTACCATTGATAATCAAACAAGGTTCACTATCAATCGAACGTATTCGTTCAGTTTTACTCACATTAATTGAACAACATAGTGTTCTTCGTACTGCTGTTCGTTTTAATCCACAAAGTAATCAAATCGAACAATATATTCAAGCTGCTACCGATGAAATTTATTCATTTCAACATTCACGAAATATTAATACATCAGAACAACTCGATCAATTGCTTACCAAGGAATCTACAGGAAAAATTTTCGATTTTGAAAAAGGCAAAGTGTTAAGATGCCACATAGTGCAGCGACAAGATGATAATAATACTGAGAGTTTATTATATGAAAATGATATAATTGCTCTCCGTTTTCATCATATTACATTTGACAATAGTTCACTTATGCCATTTATAAAAGCATTTAAACAAATAGATTTGACTAATGAACAACAATCAATATTCTCAGTTTCACAATATATTGATTTTGCAATACATGAACAAATGTTGTTAGCTGATACAAATATAGATTCAAAAATGAACAAAGTACGTCGTTATTGGTCAAATCTTATGGATGGTTATGATTGGAATCGAATACAGCATTTCGTACCTGATGAAAATAAAACTGATCAAGTCCGTTCTGGTCGTGCGTATTCAATTGTACTTAGTTTTGATGAAAGTATTGTTGATGCAATGATTTCTTTTGCTTCATCAAATAATCTTACAATGTTTTCATTATCTTTTGCTTGCTATTTTGTATTTTTATATAAATTAATTAATATGGATGATGATAATTTATGTGTTCGAAGTGTTCTAGCTAATCGACCAAAACAAGAAATGAAAGATATAACTGGAATGTTTGTTAATCTCGTACCATATCGAATGAAAATGGAAGCAAATAATTCATTTGAATATCTTATACGAAAAATACCAGAATTAAGTAGTAATGTTTTAGAACATTCTTGTTTACCTTATCAACAGATTATTAATTCACAAGATCAACAAAATCATCAAGTATTACCTTCAACATTATTTCAATATGAATCTTTAGTATCATCAGTGACAGCAAAGAATAATATTGAATCTAGTACTATTGAAGGAAATTATGTTCTTGCTGTTTATTTTGATCGAGATTGATCACATGGTAATGGTGTTGCAGCATTTGATCTTACTTTTACAATATCACATGATTATCATGCACGAACTACAGAATGTTTTCTTGGTTGTCCAATTGATATATTTAAAACTTAAACGAATGTCGATCTACTTGCAAATCGTTTTTAACATATGCTCACACAACTTTTCTCTTCTTTTTCTTTTTCTTCTTCAGTTATTCATGTACCAATCTATAAATTATCAATTGTTCTTCCAACTGAACAAGAATTTATTCATCAAATGAATAATACAGATATATCTAAATCTTATTCATGGCCAAATATTGTTCATGAATGTTTTATTCAACAAGCTCAATTATATTCACAAAAATTAGCACTTGAACTTGATGAACAATCACTTACTTATAGTGAATTATTATATTCTGTATATTGTTTAACAAATTACTTAATTGATAAAATTCAACCAAATAAAATTATATGTCAATGTGTTGAACGATCTTTTAAAATGATTACTGATATGTTAGCGATCTTATCAAATGATGTAGTCTATTGTCCATTATCACCTTTGGATCCACCAGAACGACTTAAAAGTCTTATTCAAGATACATCTACAAAGACTCTTCTTATTCATAGTTTTACTTGGCAAACAATTCTAATGACTCATACATCATGTAATCTTATTAAAACAGATTCATTTATTCTATTCAATTATATTAGTAATAATAATGAGCATCATATTACCAAGTCAATATCTGTTACATCTGATAATATTGCTTATATTATTTTTACAAGTGGAATAACAGGAATATGTAAAGCAGTTATTATTTCACATTCTCATATACTTTTATATCTTCAACCGTCTGTTGGAGTTGATGCATTGCGTACAACTGATAGACCTATACAATTATCATTATGTACTTGGGATGTTCATATTCATGAAATATTTGATACTCTTATACTTTTACGTTGAGAACAAGGAAATTGTAATATGGATTATTTATCTTAAATTATTGAAGTTTATTAAGCAACATATATTTGTGTTGTTCGTACATTACAAATTCTTTTGTTTGATATTGTAGAAGCACAAAAAGCATATTTTCGACTCAATACTCTTCGTTAAATATGGTCTGTAGGTGAACTAATCTCATGCCTTTTTATTGCTCGAATTCTACCTATGTTATCTATTGGTGTCAATATATAAATTTTAGCGGTGCTACAGAAGGTACAGTCGTACAAGTGTATCACATTGTAACAACCAATGATGCACTATCAAAATTAAATACAGTTCCATTAGGTCAACCGATGCCTTATTTTCGATGTCATACATTGGATAAATTTCTACAAATTATACCAATTAGATACATAGGTGAACTTTTTATAAGTGGACCTATTATGAATGGTTACTTAAACAGACCTGCTCTTAATAATAAAGCATTAGTTCAACTTCCAGATGAATTTGATAAAAGTTATAGAACAGGTGATTTAGCTCGATTAATACCTTCAACTGGTAAAATTCAATTATTGGGTTGTAATGATTTTCAAGTGAAAGTAAATGGACAACGAATAAAATTAGAAGAAATTCAAGCAGTTATTTATCAATCTAATTCATCTATTTCTAATTGTGCTGTTATTAAAGTTGTAGAACGTGGACGAGACCATTTGATTGCATATATACAATTAAATAAAGCATCTACATCAGCAGTTCCATTTGATGAAAAATTAATTCATACTAATTGTCAAGATCATTTACCACAATATACGATTCCATCTTTTTTTATTGTAGTTGATCAATTACCATTTAATTCTAACGGAAAACTGGATAAAACAATACTTCCTAAACCTAATCTATCATCATTACTTTTCCCAATAAATAATGATGAAACTTCTGATGATCAAGAAAATCAAAGATCAATGACAAATGAACAACAACTTACACATGATCTTTAGTGTCATATATTACAATTTGACGTAGACTCAAAAATACCTATTAATCGTTCATTTTTCTCATTGGGTAGTAATTCATTAGCTATAATGCGTCCCTTTGCACAGTATCAAATAAAATTTTCTCTTGATACCAAATCTTCATCATCATTCAATATTGCTTCTTTATTTCGTCAACCAACTGTTGCTGAACATACTCAAATTCTTAAACAATGGCTTAATCATATTTCTCAACCAGCTCAATTATGGTCAACTCTAAATATTTGTCAAGGTAATCTATAATTTTATTTTTCCCTCTCTATTTTTTATTTTAGCTGAAATATCATATGATCAACAATGTATTTTTGTTGAATAAACTATTCGTTTTTCAAATGAAACATCTGTTTATAATGTTCCTTTAGTTTATCGTATTATATCTAATTCTAATATTCAACAGATTACAATTCATCGATTACGTCAAGCTATTGATGCAATTATTGTTCAACATGCTATATTTCGACCATCATTAGATTGGGATATGAATACTAATGCTTTAGTTCAATATATTCAACAATTCAATTGTAGAAATCAATATGAATTTGTAATTAATGATGCTGAAAATGATGAAGAAATTACAAGTTCAAAATTATTTGATCTTAATCGAGGCATTGTATTACGATGTCACATAATTAAATATAATTTTACGAGAAAAGATGAAGAAATATATTTAGAAAACAATGATATTATTATTTTTAATCTCCATCATATTGCATTTGATGGTGCTTCTCGACGAATATTTTTTAGTGATCTTAAATATAATTTAGAAAACGATAGTACATTATTAAATAATGAAAATCAATTTTAATACATTGATTACTCAGTTTATGAAAAACAAATGGATATAATATCATCTTATTATTTCTGGCAATCGTATCTTGATGGATTAAATTTAGAACGTCGTATTATGTTATCTTTTGATCGACATCGTTTATTGACTGATTGACATTCAGATTTTGCTCATCTTATTGATATTCCATTTGATAATGATTTAATACATTCATTTCCTGAATATACTTCTTCACAAAATAGTACACCATTTTAATTAGATCTTACCATATTTTATACATTTATATATAAATTAAGTCATAATCAAAATGATCTATGTATTTCATGCATTCATGCTAATCGATATAGAACACAATTACAAAATCTAATTGGTATGTTTGTTGCAACATTACTATATAGAATTCAAATTTATTCTGATTATTCATTTAATCGCCTTATTAAACAAGTTCAAAATGGATTTTATTCAATTCTTGAACATACACATTATCCTCTTCAACAAATATTTCAAGATTTAGATTATAAACATTCATCTTCTGCATTTCTCAATATATTATTTGATTTCATTACTTATTCATCTGATACTGATCTTCTATCTGTAAATCAAACACAATTTCAATCAGTACCATTGAAACAAATGCAAAATGTTGTTAAATTTGATATGAAACTATTATTTTTTCATGATCGAACAGTTCAAAATCAAACAATATCATGTTCTCTAATTTGTTCACAAGATGTCTTTATTGTCATGTTGTTTATTATAAAAACATTTCTCAACAAGGAATAATTTGTGAAAAAGATGCACTGATCTTTAATTTTCATCATGCTTTGTTTGATTTTCCATTAGTGAAAATGTTTTGTCAAGATCTTGATCAAGCATATACAATGGGTTACTTGGAAAATGATGATAATACAACTTTACGTTATCTTGATTGTATGTTAATTTATTTTAGTTATTGTCTTTATATTTTATACTGACATACTTTTTATTTTATTTAAGATGCTGTGGCTGAACAACAAATGTCGATGACGGTTACCAATGTTTTTTGGCTTAATGCTCTTCATAATTGTGAAATAGATCGACCTTGACAATTACCATTTGATCGACATCGTGTTTCCGACGAACATCGTACAGGTCGTGGAACTTCAATTTCATTTCAATTTGACAATGATCTTTTAAAAGCATTTCTAACTTATGCTTCAACATATAATATTAAACTTGAATATTTAACACTTGCTTCTTATTATACATTCTTATTTAAATTAGTCAATAATGAAAATGATATATGTATTGTTATGAATAATCATGGTCGTTCGAAACCTGAATTAATGTCAATTATTGGAATATTTGTTAAAGCACTTCCACTGCGGTGTCAAATTAATTCTAATCATTCATTTGATGAATTTGTAAAACATGTAGATACAATAGCAACACAAACTTTCGAACATTCTTGTTCAACATCCACATATTTCTCGTGCCACATTTTTTAATGCATTCTTTGATTTTGTTTCTTTTCCAACTGAAAACAATCATGATGAAGTGACATTAGGAGATGTTTCTATTTATACTATGCCTTATTCAATTCAAATAAATACAGATGAAATTGCAAGTAAATTTGATTTTTCCCTAAGTATCATACATGATACAATAACCGATCAATTATCATGTAAAATCGAGGCATCTCTGGATTTATTCAATCCATCAACAACATATAAAATTGGATAACGATCTCAAATTCTACATCAACAACTTTTTATATCAAATTTAATAAATCAAACTTGTCAATCGATTTATGAATCTTCAATAATATTACCTAATGAAAAAATTCTTATAGAATCAATTAATAATACTCAAACTTTATTTTCTTCATCTTAACATTGTATACAACATGAATTTATCCAGCAAGTAAATAAGCAATCACAAAAGATAGCCATAGAACCTGATGAACAATCTCTTACTTATAATGAATTATGCTATAATGCAAAATGTTTATCTCTTGAATTTTTAACAAATTCAAATTTTATTTCTGGTAATGTTGTTTGTCAATGTATAGATTGTAGTCTATCAATGGTAAGTTATTTTATATAACGAAATATTTCTATTTAATTAATTATTATATTATAATTTATTGATATTTTATCTATTATTATGGCTGGTGGTTCTTGAAGGTGTGGGTGCGGTTACTGATCGTCTCTACATCACAACCACATCCAGAACAACACCCATACATGATCGCTCATATCTTCTTTAAGTTTAGATCTAATGATGTTCAAAATGAGTTCCTTGATATGAGATAGGTTGATAGATAATAACAAGAATCAGTCTGGCACAAAATACTTATTACTAGAATAATATAAAAATTTCAATTTTTCTTTCTAGAACAACAATAAACAATTGGTAAGAAGGCTGAAAAAGTCTTGTGGTCAACAAGCATAATAAAATTCCTTTTTTATATATGATTTGATAGAACTCGTCGAGCTGACCACAAATACCATCTTTTAACCTCTTTGTGATTGATTTTCTCATAAGAAAAATCTTCAAAATATATTCGGCGTCGAGAAAAAGTGGTAAAAGGCCATTACGAGGAAAAGTGTATATTTTACTCATTTTTGTGCACGCGAAATTTTTCGAACAATTTCATTCAGGATCACCACAAAAACTTGCATGGAATATAATATATTTTATCGGACAATATTTTTGATGAAATATATTTTGTTCGATGCCTGTGTTTATGCTGACCCCAAATAAAATTGTTTGAAAAAGTTCGCGTGCATAAACATGAGTAAAATGTGCACTTTTCCTCGTAATAGCCTATTCTCCGCCTTTTCTCGACGTCGAATATATTTTGAAGATTTCCTTTCCAAAAAGAATCAATTACAAAGAGGTTAAAAGGTGGTACTTGTGATGAGCCCGATGAGTTCTATTAAATCATATATAAAAGAAAGATTTTCATTATTTACTCGTTTTTTTCGCTGGATGTGTTTCAACTGTATTTGTGCTAGTTAAAAATTTTTTCATACTACTCAATATACCGTCTTCGTCTCGAAACCCAAATATGACTGACACAGAATCGTCCCATCAGAACGCGTACACTAAAGATGCCGTAACATCCAAACATGATCATGAAGCAACACTGAAATCGATCGTTATCCAAGGTAAGGATCTCACTTTAGAACAATTGGTGCAAATTGCTCGACATTACTGCAATGTTGAATTATCGACTGACGTTAGTATCTGTAGTCGAATGGAAGAATCGGTCGCCATCATTGATGAGATTGTAAATGGATCACAACCTCTTTATGGAGTCACGAGCTTGTTTGGAGGCCTTGCTAACCGACTTGTATGCAGGGAGTTTGCCGAGGAACTACAAAATAATTTGGTCCGTGCTCACAAAACTGGCACTGGTTCCATTATGTCACTAGAGTCGATTAGGGCAGCCATGATTTTGCGGACCAATGCTCATCTTATTGGTGCTTCCGGAATCCGTCAATTATGGGACGAACGATTAGTACGATTCGTGTCGGAAGGAGTGACTCCGTTGGTTCCCGAATTTGGTTCAATAGGAGCATCCGGTGATCTTGTTCCATTATCTTATATTGCCTCTGCTATTTCTGGACAAGACGAAACACTTCGTGTCGATTTTCGAGGTGAAACAATCAGTGCGCCTGAAGCTTTACTTAGACTTGGATATGAACCAAAACGATTTAATCCGAAAGAAGGCTTAGCTATGTTGAATGGAACCAGTGTTATGACAGCGTCAGCTTCATTGGCCTGTTATGATCTTTATACATTGATGGCTGCTACTCTTCACGTCCACGCCATGGTTCTTCAAGCACTGACCGGTAGTAACCAACCATTTCATCCATTTCTACAGAAAATCAAAGGCCATCAGGGACAGGTAAATAATAAAAATTTCGACCTCAATCTATTAGATAGCCAGATAAAATATGATAGTTTTCGAACAAACTTTGAAGGATTTTTCTAGCATGCCAGTCAGAAAATTCTGTCAGATTATGTTAAGGGGCGTAACAAGTGATTTAATCGATCTCGGTCGGACTATTTGAAATGGTTACAGCAGGCTGTCTTTAGGGTGTGGTTGGTTGTAATCGCATCCAGTCTGAAAAAGATTTTTCTATTTCTCCCAGCGGAAACGGCCCAGAAATGAGTTAATACTACATTCAATGGACTTCAAAACTCATTTTCGGCTAAAATTGCTTACCATCAAAATAAGTCATATATCTGCTACTGATCCACGTCCGCTATAAAAATGTAAGATACGCCGTGTTGCCCATTTAATTCTCACTTTTAAAGCTTAAAAATGGCGACAAACTCTACATCTTACAACAGAAATACTCAACTAATTCCTACCTTTCAGCTTCAATGAGATTAAGGAAACTCAAGAAGTGATTATATTTATTGGCCTCTAGGGCTGAGTTACTACTGTTATACAGAATTTTTGGCAGACTTCTAGATAGCCATTGAAGAATCGTAAAACTAAATTTTGACCTAAAATTTTGCTAATAGATAGATCGAATATCTACATGAAGAATCATTCCTTTTGACTGAACTTTTTAAAGTAATCTTACAAGAAAATATTTCTAACTGTTCGAACAGGTCTGAGTTCGAACTTTGCGTATTTAATGAAGATCAGTGAGATGTCGGGAACGTTAAATATATGAGATTTTCTAAGACTTTCTGCCCGCAGCTACAAACATTTTACAGATAATTTAGTCTATAAAATGGCATATACAATAAACTTGAATTTCGTTTTTTAGAGCTGAAGGTTTTCTCACCAATAGGTCTGTTTATTAGTAGCACATTCTGTAATTTTTAGCTCAACACATCGTTGGCTTCTCAAGATATTCAACTCTTGAAAATCAAAACATTCCCATGAGCTTTCGAAGTGTATGAATCATTTTTAAAACGTGAATATCTTGAGAAGGAAATGTTACTTTAAGCTGAAATGTTGAGAGTAATATAAGATACATTATATATATCTATGAGCAAAGTTTCATATTAAAATTTAGTTGTATGATTCGGAAATGCCCACGTAGAAGTTTGCCGGAAAGTCTGTATAATGGTACACTGTAAAAAAAAGACAGTACTATTTTAAGTCCCTTCAAATACCGTTTCGCTTTTCATAAACCCTCCAAGATAGAGTACATCAACATACACTCTAAATAAAATAGGTGCTCTACTGAGCTCTCAAAAAAGGTTTCGTCGTGACGAAAAAGTCTCCAAACATGTTCAAAGTTTGAAAAACACAATAAAAAATTCTACGAAACCATTAAAGGATCTTCCCGTGTGTCGGGGTGAAGAACCTTCACCTACGAAACCTTTTTTTAAGTTTGGGACATCAAAAAAAGGTTTCGTAGAGAAATACGAAACTTTCATGGTTGCGTATTAAACTATACAAGAACATTGGGGTTTAGTACGAAACTATTAAGGTTTCAAATGAAACTCTAAAGGTTTCGTATTTCTCCACAAAACCTTTTTTTGGTGTCCCAAACTTAAAAAAAGGTTTCGTAGGTGAAGGTTCTTCCCCCCGACACACGGGAAGATCTTTTAATGGTTTCGTAGAATTTTTTATTGTGTTTTTGAAACTCTGAACATGTTTGGAGACTTTTTCGTCACGACGAAACCTTTTTTGGGAGTTCAGTAGAGCATCTATTTTATTTAGAGTGTACGCTTTACAATAAATCGTATAATAAAACATGCTTCTTCAAAGAGTTTATGAAGAAAAACGGTATTTGAAAGGATTATGCGATGTGCATAAACGACAATAGGGATTTATTACTGTACTGTCTTTTTTATAGTGTAGTAACTCGACTCCAGATACCCATAATGATGAACACATCTAGCGTTGTCTTAGTTTTATTGAAGCCTTTTTACACTTAAAAGCTGAAGGTGAAAACTTGAAATCAGTTGGGATAGTTCCCTCATCAGGTTTCGTATAAAGTATATTATACTAGAACTACATAATAGAAAGTCAGATGGAATTGTTTTAGACTTCTTGTTACGCTTATTCAACAAGAACTCATCTAAAATTGTATTCGTGTGTGATCATATAATTTCATCACAAATCGAATAGATAGTGAAAATATAAAAGAAACTACAGTTTGTGTTTATAAAATATTAAAATATTAACAGTGGTAATTGAAAACAACAAGCACGCATCTAATTATGAACGAAATTGAATATGATACTAATTATATTTTTTTTAATTGAAGATCGATGTAGCAGCCATAATACTCGACTTATCTAATGGCTCAAAAATGATTTATGATGCACTCGATGGTAAACTGACAAAACGAAGCATAGAAGCATTAATCCAAGATCGATACTCATTGCGATGTTGTCCACAATTTCTTGGTCCAATGCTTGAAACACTACATGACATTGCTCGTATACTTGAAATTGAAATGAATTCTGCTAATGACAATCCACTAATTGATGTCGATACCCGCAAAGTTTACTGTAAGCATCAAACACATTCTATTTCTTGTCTTCTTCAGAATAAAACCAAACTAGAACTGTGAAGTATTTTACTAAGAGGAAAAGAGTAGAATATTAGACTTTTAGAAAATGTTTTCGAATTCTATAGAACCCTGAGAAATCTGAGGAAATTCTAAAGAATTGTTGAGAGTCCTTAGAATTCATCGGAATCTGGGTGTGTGTATCTTTTTTAGTCATAAACTGTAGTGTTCATCTTTTTGATTATAACTAAATAAATCGACACGTTTTGCAATCTTTTTATTGTCATATGCAGGTGGTGGCAATTTTCTCGGCGAACATGTTGCCATCGCTATGGATCGACTTCGACAAACTGTCGGTCTTATGGCGAAACATTTACATGTGCAAATTGCTTAAATGGTAACTCCTGAATTCAATAACGGTTTGCCTAGTTGTCTCATTGGTAATCGTGCTCGAGAAGTAAATATTGGTGTCAAAGCTCTACAACTCACCGGCAATTCTATTATGCCCTATTTACTTTTTCTTGGTACGCCGATGGCTGATAAATTTCCAACGCATGCTGAACAATACAATCAAAATATTAACTCAATGAGTCATATGTCTGCATGTCTTGCTCGAAAATCTATTTCCGGTTTAAGTCAACACATAAGCATATGCCTTTTAATTTGTGTCCAAGCACTTGATTTACGAGCCAACTTGATTGATGAAGAAGGTGGTTATGATGCTCGCCCATTGGTTTCAAGCAAGACTCGTCCAGTGTATGAAGCGATTAGATCAATCATAAATGTACCTATTAGCAAAGAGCGCTCGTACATTTGGGATGATGGTGAACATGCACTGGACGAACAAATTGCTTGTGTTAACGCAGCACTCATCACGGATGAAAATGGACTTCTCTTCAAAGCACTAAAACCAACTATTGACTGGCTCCGTTCCGAACGCTACTCGCACTAAGTTTTCCACATTACAAAAAATTTCAATTTCTTTTTTTATAAAATTGGATCATCATCAGGTATAGGATCGGATAAAATGACATCAATTTTTTTTAAAATAAGACTTTTCTCCTTTCTTACAATAAACAAATTTAATCAGAGCATAAAAACGCAGAGTACTATTCGATTATTTCTAGATTAAACTTTCAATTTCAATTTTTAACGTACTATTAAAAATATGACAACATTATTCTATGTAGTGCGTAATTTATTTAATATTGCTCGATTATATCCTCAGAAGGTAGCATTAGTGCTTGACGATCAAGCATGGACTTATAGCGAGTTGATTATGCAAGTAGAACGTGTCGTACATCAGTTACATCAATCAGGCGTAGTTCAAGGTCAAATAATTTATCAATTTGTTGAACGAAGCTTTGAAATGATATGTGGCTTTTTTGGCATCATGTATGTAGGTGGAGTGTATTGTCCGCTAAATCCAGCACTACCGCCTGGTCGTCTTAATGCACTTCTCGAACAAATGAAAGGTCAATATGTTTTAGTACATGAGAAAACTCGTTATCAATTTCCAACAGCAACCGTACAACATGTTGTTGTATTGGATAATATTCTTCTGTCACTATTATACATCGAAGACGCAAATGATCTTATAATTGCTAGGGAGTATGGTGCTGCATTCATCGTTTTTACTTCAGGTACTACTGGCCCACCAAAAGCAGTTGTTCATACACATAAAAGTTTTTCGGCTGGTATTGCTGGTCTTACTGGATGGGACGTCGGTGCGTTTACCGTTCGAGATCACGTTCTTCAAGTTGCTACACCTTCATGGATTTTACATTTTATGGAAATCTCATTGCCATTAGTCGTTGGTGGTACTCTTGTGCTTCTGCGAGAAGGTGGTCATTTAGATATGGCATATTTTTCTCAAACTCTAATACGTCAACAAATAACGGCATTAATAATAGGTCCTTCAATAATTCGAGCTCTTACTGATTATATTGAAAATACCCAGCAAACGAAAGCATTCGATACTGTGCACCATCTTTGTACGACCGGTAATAATAAATTTTTGATCTATTTTTGACACCTAAATTTTTATTCGTCTTGCATAACCTAGGCGAAGCACTGAAGCCACAACAGTGGACTCAATTTGTTAATTTGTTAAGCTCTTCAAATGTTCAACTTTCTGTTCTATATGGTATGTCCGAATGTATAGGAGCTCTCGGATGTCAGTTGTTAAATATCAAAGAAACAACTATTCCTATTGGATATCCAATCTCAACAATTCAATGTTTGCTAATCGATGATGGTGGAAAAATTATTCCTACTACAAACAATTCAAATAAAATTGGTCAAATTCATATACGAGGTATGTAGCGTCTATTTCGATCATTTTCATTTATATTACGTATTATTTATAAGGACCAAATTTATTTAACTCCTATCTAAATGATCCCGAACATACAACCAGCAAGTTTACAACCATAAGCAATCAAGTTTATATGAAAACAGGTGATTTGGCTCGATATAATACACGAGAAGAGCTTGTTTATGCTGGACGTGCTGATTTTCAAATTAAAATACGTGGTCAACGAGTCGAAACAGGTGAAATTGAAAACACGATTATAAATTCGTATCCTGGCAAGATTTCCGAGTGTGTTGTTACTAAACTGGTACAAAATGATGATCTACTTGTCGCATATGTGGTCTCAAAAGACTCCGAGCTCGACACTGAACAAATTCGAAATTATTGCAATAAACACCTATATCAATACATGGTACCATCCATTTTTGTCTTCTTGGAACAGTTGCCTTTGAATGCAAATGGAAAACTCGATCGACAGCGTCTTCCAATACCTGATATCGCAGTTCTATCGACTGATGCTATTGATGGTCAATATTTAGAACCGAAAAATGAATTGGAGACGCTTGTTCATTCGGTATGGTGTAACATCCTTGGCTGTACTCGTATCTCGACGCGAACTAACTTTTTTAGTATTGGTGGTCATTCTCTTCTAGCTATTCGAATCTATCAACATTATCGAACGTTATTTGATTTTGACAGTGAAACAATAAATACTCGATCATTCTTTGAACATAATACCATTGCTGAACATGCAAAACTACTAGAAAATATTAAAGTTAATAATATACAAGCAAAACAATGGCACACACTATACATTAATCAATGTGAGGGATATAGAAGTGCTTTTACGCCAGAATACAATAATTTTCTCCTAATTTATAGGTATTGCATCATATGCTCAACAACGTATATTTCTTGATGAACAAGTTCGTTTCTCTGGCCAAATTGCCATTTACAATGAGCTAACTGTTCTACAAGTTACAAACGGTTCATTATTAGTGAATCGTTTATTACAAGCACTTCACTATGTCCTAAGCAAGCATACGATATTAAGAACTTCTCTAGCTTTCAATGATGAGGATAGTATTTTAAAACAATCTATCACTGACAAGCACCTAACATTTACATTGGCTGCTGATCAAATATTCAAAAGTGAAGCTGAACTTCAAACCATTATCTCACAAATCAATACCGATCCTGATTTGTTCGATTTATCAAGTGGTCGTGTTTTTTATTGTCAAATTCTTAGGCAACAGATGATACCTGATGAAAATAATAATAAAGAAATTATTACAGATTCTGATGTTCTCGTTATCGGCTTTCATCATGCTGCAATTGATCAATCAAGTGTCTCAATTTTTTTAAATGATCTAGATAATGCTTACAATAGTAACATGATGTTGTTAGATAATAATGAAGAACCATTACAATATATTGATTATAGTGTTCATGAGCGTCTAATCAACATGACATTATCACGTGAGTTTTGGCGTTCTCAACTGAATGGATACAATCAAGAATGTCGATTGTTATTGCCAGTTGATCGTGATTGCTTATACAGTGATCAACGATCTGGATATGCCTCTATTGCTCGTACTTCATTTGATAGTGAGGTCTCGATATCATTTCTCAATTATGCATCATCACATCAAATTACACCATTTCAATTATGTCTGGCTACATTCTATGCATTTCTTTTCAAATTAACATATCAACAAAATGATTTATGTATTTCTTGTCTCAATGCAAATCGATATAGAACTGAATTACAGAACATGATTGGAATGTTTGTTTCAACATTACCATATCGAATTCAAGTTGATCCTGATTGGTCATTTGGTGAACTTGCTGAACATGTGCGAGAAAAATGTGTATCAATTCTTGAACATTCTCATTATCCATTGCAACATATTCTTACTGACTCTCAACTTAAGCAACCAAACATTTCATTTCTTGA